AGAAAAGCTGCCCACCTCTCCTTATTTCCGTTTAAGAATTCTGGTGGAATGCCATCTGGTCCAGGGGCTTTGGCATTTTTTAGTTGTTCTACTATATATGATTGAATCTCTCCTGGGGTTTCAGCAGGCCAATTCTATAATTGTTACGGTTTTGCAAAAAAGGAGACCAGTTTGTCTGCTGGTATTCATGAGGATGGAGGGGATTTTTGACTAAAGGATCTACCTGAGATTAAACCTCAAAAGAGGGATGGGTTTTTATATTCAGCTGCTTCAATTAACCGTCCCCAGAGTTTTCTGGTATGATCTTTCTTAGTGCCTTGTATCAGCAGTTTATATTCTTTTTTTTTCTTTTTTCTTTTTTAACCAAAAGTTTTGAGAGGGCATCACTTCTGGCCTGACCTTCTCAATCTTTGGTATTGCTGAAACTGCCAGTTTTTGGCTGATATACAGCTATGATCAAACCATGGTTTAGACTGGTTGTACAGTTTCTGAGAATGTTCACTATGAATGCGAACCAGAATTGGATTTAGTTTTTGTATGAGGTTTTCATAAATGGCTATGGTGTCTACATTTGCTACCTCACTTCCTGTGTAATATATAGGTTTGTCCATGTCCTCCTGAGTTAGAATCCCCCTTAGGGTAAGTGCCAGGCTAGGGCTCCATCTTGTCCGGCAACCACCTCTTTCAAGTGGTACAATTGGGATATAATACCTGGACTCCAGATGGATAAGTCCAGGCTTTGGCATAGGAAGAGAGGAAAATGATATCCTTCCAAATATGGAAGCACCTGAAAATCCTCAACCAAGTGCAGGAGGTCTCTATATACTAGAATATAATCAATTGTGCTAACTTTGGATCCTGACATAAATGATCATTCACCTGGAATGTCACCTTCAGTTGAGCCATTTAATACATATAGACCCAATCTACAGGAGAATTTATACAGGCAGGCCCCAGCAAAAATTGCCTGTTGATCTATAAATAGCCTCTCCCTTTGACAGTGGTCAATGTTCTCAGATGTTGTATTAAGAATCAAGATGTATTTGGAAGACAGAAAGTCATCATTTGGGGCTATCCGGGCATTTATGTAGATCACCTCCCAGGAGTGTCAGTATGGGTAACAGATAACCTGACGCTGAATCAGCTGTGACAGTAGAATGAGGCCACATTGCTTTTAGCATCCTCACTGCTTTGCTAACAAACATTTAGAATGTATTGTTTTGTACTGTTTTCCTTTACAGTTCTAAGCGACACAGCAATGAGTTGGTGGACTTAATACCTCTGATCATGGATGCTGCAGGCATCTCATCCCCCCCCCACTTCACCATACATGTCAAAGGAGTTTTTATCAAGATGAACATCTTAATTTCAATGAAATTAATTCCTAATCTGATAGAGCTATTATGAAGTGATGTTACAATACTGTATCTATTTCATGTGCAAAACGTTTTATGTGAGTGCGCCCTCATGTGTTGGACACTGGTATTTATCACATGAAGGCAAACTTGAAAAGAAGGCCTCACCTCCACGTGGGAAGCATCAGGTCTCACCGTGAGACAAATGCAGCCAAGATATAGTCAAGAGCCAAATCGTGGTATTATCAGTTCCAGGTGTTGAATATTTTGTTCACATGGTCAGAGCTTCAGTTTGCCCCCTCCCCGGGGTTGGGCCTTTGCAATTAAAAGCGAAGGGAGAACATAGGAAGCAGTAACCTACCAATCCTGGAAAGCTTTGTTGACGTTCTTCCATCTTCTTTCCACCCCAAAAATTGGTAGAAGGCTAAGGTTGTGGGGGGTCTTTCTGGCTGGGAGCTTAATGTTTCCATAAAACTAGGATGTGAATTTTGGGCCAGGTTTAGAATGCCAAAGCAAATTACTGAAAAGATAATTTATGTATTACTTTATTCATTCCATCCAGAGGTAAAGAACATTCCTCATTTCAAAGGATATCCTTCAATTCTTTGCAATCCAGAAACTACAATTTCTATGACATGAACGTGCCTCTCTCTCTCTCTCTCTCTCTCCCCGTGTGTGTGTGTGTGTGTGTGTGTGTGTGTGTGTGTGTGTGTGTGTGTGTGTGTGAGAGAGAGAGAGAGAGAGAGAGAGAGAGAGAGAGATAACCTGTCAGACTTGGCATTATTGAGATAGATGGACTGGGTAAAAAGTAGCTTTCTGCATATATGCATGGGAGATTAGGTTGTATCTAAGAGGTACGCGAGATGGAAATCTTCAGGGTCTTCGGGGTTTTCTTCGAAATCTTTCTTACTCTGTCTCCAGGTACTCAGTACACAAGGTAACCCAACACACAAAGTGTTGCTGGCAGCAATACTCTGGCCCTCTTCGTTTTTCTTTGGCCCACCCATAACTAATTGCCGAGTACCATCCATAACGAATGACATTCACTCCCCTGACAGCATCCTCCCATTGCTGGGTTGCTTCTGCTGAGCAAACAAGGAAGGGAAATGACAGAAGCAGTCCTGGCCGGTCAGCAGATGCCCCTCTGGACATAGGGAAAAAATAAATCAGTAGAAGAAAACAAAAGAGAGTGGGAAGGATAGCATCGGTTTGAGGTCCTTTTTCAAAGAAAACAGCTTGCAAAAACCTGAAGCTATGATCAAACATATCTCTGGACAAACTGAGTGAAGCTACAGAAGCCATGCTAGAAGGACGAACACAGATCAGCGGATAACGCCGCATGACTGACTCTGCAGACTTGCAGAGAACTGGATGATACCCACTGGAAACAAAGAGAGCTTGCAGACTCTTCAATAAAAATGAGGTTCTCTGTTGATTTCGTTCTCTCAGGGGCCGCGCTAGGGCTTTGTACTGGGGCTCCCTTTGGAATGCTTAACATATTCATTCGTCCTGATCAGCGGCTCGCCTTGCCTGTGCGGTCCGCTCGCTTGCTTTGAATTTGGACTTCCATACCTAATCAAATGTCTTCTTTGAGAAGTGCTGCCGCAAGCAGACCAAATAAATACCACGTCAATGACTGGACAGTCTGTCAAATTTAGAACAGAATAACATGCTACGGGATTAAAAATAAATCGGTGATTATGGCAGACAGATGTTAATGGAGCCTGGATCGTGATCGTCCCTTCACACTGGAAGATCTATTGTCCTTTGGCTCATTGTCCTAATAAAAATCGGTTGCCTTTTCCAGTAGTTCATAGCAGCTACATGTTGGCCCAAATCCCCTTTGGTAACTTGCCAGCATAAGTCATGCAAGAGGCTTTTGGCCATTATGTTACATCCATTTCTTTGTAGGTAGCAGCTGGTAGTGTTATCTGGCATTTACCTGGTATGATGTGGTTTATGTATACAGTGGTGCCTCACTTAACAACGTTAATTCGTTCCAGCGAAATCGCTATAGAGCGAAAACATCATAAAGCGAAAATAAAAAGGCCATTGAAACACATTAAAACCCGATTAATGTGTTCCAATGGGCTAAAAACTCACCGTCCAGCGAAGATCCTCCATACAGTGGCCATTTTCGGTGCCTGTATAGCGAGGAATCCGTCCCTAAGCACAGCGGGGAGCCATTTTGAGCACCCGGTGGCCATTTTGAAAACCCAACGATCAGCTGTTTTGATCGTCGTAATGCGAAGAATCGGTTCCCTGTTTCGGGAACCGATCTTCGCAAAGGGGAAAAAAACCATTTAATTGCGATCGCAAAAACATCATCATGAAGCAGATTCGTCGTAATGCGGGGTAATCGTTAAGTGGGGCACAACTGTATTAGAACCAAGCATTGGATAAGTGCCACATATTTACTTATACGAGTCAACAGACGTTGCCCATTATAGTTCTGTGGTTTAGGTCTCTCTCCAGAGCCAGAGGTTAGGAGTTCGATTTCCCACTGCACCTTCTTGCTAGGGGCTGAACTCAATGAACCTTAGGACTCTTCTGGCTTTGCAATTTTAAGATTATTATTTTGTTTATGATCATTTCAGTACCATCTTTTATTTAAACTTTCCACAGTGGTTTATAAATAATGCATAATAACACATACGCACGCACACAAAACTCCGCACACCGAAACCAGTAAAATAACATAACTAAAGTTCCTGGAACAATAGTATCCATAGATAGATAGATACAGATTCACACATAATCATTTTCATCTCTCCTGTATGGATTTTCAACCAAAGGCCTGAGTTTAAATCGTTCAGCTTGATACATATTTGCTCATGGATTCCCATTGATGTTCTCTTCTAATTTATTATCAATATCACAGCAGCTTTGTTTACCATATTCAGAACATGTTCTTACCCCTATAAGAACAGAGAGAAATCCTTCTAAAACTCTTGCACTCTTTGATTTCTTCCATTAGCCTTTGCATACAGTATACTTAGAACAAGGGCTATAATTGGAATTATGATATGAGCAATACCTTGTAAAAATGCAGTTTCGTAGGTGTGAGATTAAAAACTGGTATCACAAATGTGTATTTAAGAAACATTTGTTTAAACAGTATAGTGCTCTATACAAGGCATAATTATGAATAATTATTTGCCATCAAGAGCGTTCTGATTTTTGGTGATGCTTCCCAGGGTTTACTAGGTGTAGAAAATTCACAGGTGTTTTACCATTACCTTTTTCTAGGACGATGTAGGTTGCCAAAGGCCAGACAAACTGGCTTTTATCCTATGAAGCAAAATGGAGAATCAGATTCTTGACTCCTGGTATTTCTTTGAATGTCCATAGGCAAAACCTCACCAATCCATAGGTATCATTAATAGACTTCACATTCACACACACATACTCACGCGTGCGCACATACACACACAAACACCCATTATTTCTGTGCTTGCCCTTGCCTAGCTCTAATTCCAAAAACATGCCTCTGACTTAGTAGATTTAGGACTCCAAATCAGAAAAACCTAACAATCAATCCTAGTTTAAACACTGTAATAATTACGGTATGTTTGGAAACCCACCCTCTGTAGTAGTCATCCTAGTGCCTAGGAAAAAAAATAAGATGGTAAATACATACCACGTAACACAGTTGTATTCCTGGCATTATCAGAACTGCATGGGAAGATAGCAACGGGAAGTAGCTCCTGCACCAGTGATGATAAGAACCAACCGAACTTTATGGGAAGGGAACAGAATCTGTAGCGTTGGGAGGATCTATGGCATACCTAAATATGACCACAGAATGCACCAGTTGTGACTGCAAAGGAGTGACATTGTCAAAGTTTTCCATTGTTACATCAGGGGAACTACCACCAGCAGAAAGGAAAACCCAGAGCCTTCTGTGGCCTCTCAGCTATTGTCAAAGGGAACACAATGACTTTCTAGGTATGTATCTACATTATACAGACATGGCCGATTGATACCATTCATATTTCCATCCTAAGAAATGCTAGGGTTTGTAGTTGAGTGAGATCTTACAGTTCTCTACTAGAGAGCTTTGCAGAACTCCTTTGATATACCACAGAAAATTCTGAGCACTAGATCAAAATAGAAGTCCTAGCGTTCCTTAGATTACAACCTCAATGGTAAAAGTTATATGAAACTGTTATAAATGTATAGTGTAGAATTGAGCCATTCTCAGTGGAAGGGGGGAAATATGGCCCCCTGGCGTGTTTGGGGGAGATCTGGAACATTTGAAGGTAGTCACACAGACTAGAAACAATTCTTCACACACCACCTTCTAAGGTTCATAATGTGACTTGTACACAAGTCCTGATTTGGAGTTCATTTCTTTCCTGTTGTGTTTAAGGCAGTGGCTAAAGAAAAGAGTTGAGAATGGCTGGTGTAGATACACTCTGAATCTGAATAACATGGTAGGGAGTTGAACAAAGCAATCAAAATGGGAAGGCAGAATTGTCACAAATTCTTAGGTATCTTTCAACATCAAAACACCTTGCCTTCGTAGGGAGCTTGTGTCCAGAAATAGAACTCAAAACTATATTTTGAGAACGGAAAGAAGAAATCGTGTTAAGATTCTATTATTGTTTAGTTTACCCATTGGGGGCCTTTTGAATGAGGGGTTTAGAAGTTGGAAGGATTTTGCTAAATTAAGGCTGTAATGGTGGTTGAACTGATAAGATCCTGGAGGCATACATTCTTGGCTTTTGTGGGAACTGATCTTTTTCTTTGAAAAGAGCGGCTGATTGTGCAGAACAAAAAAAGGACTTTTATTTTTAAAATCTGCTTCTGTAATTTCTTCCCACAGGGTTTATAAGCTGGGAGCTTTATCTGGTGCACTCTCCATTCTTGCCTGATGGTTGGTCATGAGCCTTTCTGGTGGATAATGCCTCGTTTTCATTCTGGAAGCAAACGATGGTATAAACATAAATTAAAATACAGCTTTCAATTGTCTGCAGACAAAAGAACAACAAATTCAGGCTTCCAGAATGTAAGGAGCTCTCAGCTTAGCATTATAAGCAAGCTGGGTGGGAACCCTAGGGGAGAGATACATAAATAATACCCTTTCCCCCCCTTCTTCCACTTAGCTGTATGTTGCTTTTTGATAAGAAGGGTGTCAAAAGGAGAGTAAAGAAACTAGTCACTAGTGGATTCATGCCAACCTTTGAAGAGGCAATGAGTTGACCTCTTCACAGGCTATTGTGCACAACCAATCATGTTGCTGAGTAAACTTGGCCAGGTAGCAGCATCCTAAAACGTGAAACCCATGTCAGCTCAGGAGAGTGTGTTCTTATGATGTCATAGGGAGCATATTCCACAGCAACAGTTGTAAAGCAGTGTGTGTCTGTGTGACAAACAATGCAGAGGAACTAATAATTTGAAGGTTGCTGAAAGGATGCTTCCAAGCATCCATTTCCTAGAATCTGTTGGGAGAGAGTCGCAAACTGTGTTTTTTTAAAAACCAAAGGGGGGGAGGTAGAAGTATAATCTGGATCTACTGGGAGATTTGCTATATGCCAGGATGCAGCTCAAAATGAGAGTGGTAGATTGAAGAACATGGTGAAATGAAAAAGGCTACTTTAAAAGGGCTAGATTTTCTTTGGATTGGCTTTCCATTTTTGTAAGATCCTCCGATTTTGAAGAAAATGTTCATTTTATAAAATAGACTGCGGGTTTGGACAGGTACTGTATATTGGAAATCCAGCCTTCATCCTAGCTAACCTCAGTGGGACAAATCTTACTGCCTGCTTCCTCTTTCGCAACCAAGCATGTAAGTTGCATGCTGCAGTCATGGAAAGGATGCATTTAAAAGTGGAGGACAAGACTTGGAAGTTTCTGATGAAGCTTCTAAATGTGGTGATTATGTGTGGCCATGCTATGCCCTATACTGGGCTGGCTGGGTTGGCAAGGCAAAAAAGCATTCTAGTGGAGGGACCCCGCTAGAGTCAGTTCTACCCTTTGACGGAGGGAGGCAACTACATCAGGTGACAGATGCTAAAGGACTTCAGCAGAGTCCTTCAACCTTTTGTCCTGAGTCCCTTGGCCTTTTCCTGCAATATGCGTCATGTGGCCTCTCCCACATCCCTCTAAAATAGCCTGCTTCCTTCAAGGACAGTAGAAGGTCCTGTCTTATCCCCATTTCTATTAGAGGATGTTGCCCCTTTGCCAGTCTTCAAGTGAAATTTCAAGTGAAATTCAACTGTCGGTCTAGTTTGCTTCTCTACATCACACCTAAGGTTAGGGAACCAGCTTGCCCTTTGCTCACAGGCTGACTCTCCACTTTGCCTTTTCCATTCAGAGCTAGAAGGACCACATGTTAAATATATAAGATTATATACTATCTTCATAAATAAACACGTTTGACGTACTAATCTTATAAATAAATGACAAGAGCATGAGCATGTATATCATTGCAAAAGCTTTGTGTTTATAGCTGATTTCCAAAAGGTTTTTTTTAATCTTCAAAAATGCCAATCACAGATAACTTGCTTTTCCCTATTTCTAAACATATTCTTTAAGAAGTTATGTCTTTTCCTGAGATTGCAGCGTCTAGACACATCTAAAAAGATAGTAATTCCAGGGTTGATTTAATCAATTGAGGTAGAAATATGCAATTGTTCAAGTCCTGCCAGCTTTGCTTATTTCATCTCTGTTATTATTTTGAAGGGGAAAAGAGAGCATCTTTCTATCTCCTGTCAAGGTGTCATCCAGCAAACACATGCACGCCGCATACCAATAGATTGCCAAGGAATGGTAGCACTGCATCAGCATTTCTCCCGAAATGCTTCCTCTGCTGGAGTCACCTAGCTGGCTGTTTAAATCTGGAATTCAAATAAAATAACTGTCAGTATTTGCAAACATTATGGAGGGCTGAAATTTTGTCATGGAAGGGAATTCGTCTGCAGAGAACATAATGGGAAGTATTGGGGAACAAGATTTTGTACTTTTTGGCATGCCTTATTTCCCTCAAAAGCAATACTATAGAATCTGCTTTGATTCACCAGTATTTCAATAAACCCAGAATCACAGGATTGGAGTGCAACCGCTTGACTTGCTGGTACAGTAGGATCGCAGTATCCATGGCAGATGGGTTCCAAGCCCTGCAGATGCTGAAACGTGTGGCTATAGAAACCGTATATATAGCATAAGAATTCCCAGTGTGGTGTAGTAAAGTGATGAATTAGGACTCTGGAGAATAAAGTTCAAATCCCTACTCATTGAGGGGTATAGAACTGGTAAAGCTTCTCTTTAAATATCTCACTATCCTTGAAAGCCCTTTTAAGGTTGTTATCAGTCAGTTCTAACTTGATGGCACAGAACTCTTTGTGTGTGTTTGTGTGTGTGTGTCTCTCTCTCTCTCTCGGAAGTGGACTTCTCCACAAAAGTTCACATTAAAATAGTTAATCCTTTAGGTGCCACAGCGTTTTTGTCTTCTTTATTATTTATGATTCTTTCGATTTTTCCTGGTACATTAGGTAAAGGTTCCCCTTGACAATTTTTGTCCGGTCGTGTTCGACTCTAGGGGGCAGTGCTCATCCTCGTTTCCAAGCCATAGAGCCAGCGTTTTGTCTGAAGACAATCTTCCATGGTCACATGGCCAGTGCGACTTAGACACAGAACGCTGTTACCTTCCCACCGAGGTGGTCCCTATTGATCTACTTGCATTTGCATGCTTTCGAACCGCTAGGTTGGCGGGAGCTGGGACAAGCGACGGGCGCTCACTCCGTTGCGTGGATTCAATCTTACGACTGCTTGGTCTTCTGACCCTGCAACACAGGCTTCTGCAGTTTAGCCCGCAGCTCCACCTCGTCCCTGGTACACTAGCACAGACAAATATGGCTACTGCTTCTTAAAACAACTACAGTGTATTTTGTGACTAGCACAGACAAATATGGCTACCGCTTCTTAAAACAACTACAGTGTATTTTGTGGCTTGCTTCACTGTGAATGGGAAACAGCATTATTCTGGAACCACCTAACTGCATGCACATTTAGTTCCCATCTTCTACTGATGGCACACCTAAATCCAGATTGTGATAGACCCAACAATTGCTGAACAATTCACTCCTTGGCTCTGCCAGGCCGTAGCTTCGCTCCAAGATCCTTTGAGGACTCGACTGCTGGGTAGAGATTTGAAGCCTACAATCCCAGGGGTTTTTCATACTCTTAGGTATGATTGGTCAGATCTTTGGTCTACAGTTTGGTCCACTTTGGAAGCAGGTTGGTTTGTTCCTTTTTCCAGCTATTGCCTGACATTTTGATAATAGGAGAGTAGCCTGACTCTTCTCCATATCTACCCCACAAATTTTCTTAAGTTGCTGGCAGGAGGCACTGGGTGGATTTTTTTAAGCACAGATAGCATCACTCCACTTTGATTCAGTTCCTGCATGTGTGGCTGCCTGTGGCCCCTATCAATAAAAAAATTATTTTAAAATACCAGAGCTGTTGTTGTTAAAAGCCCATCACTGTGTGATTTGGTGCCGATCCAGTTTACTGGCAATTCACTACCGTCACAATGTAAAGTTATCCTGCTCAAGCAGAAGATAAAATGTATGTTTCCATCCTTTCTTCTAAAATGCTTTCCATAATTAATGCATTTGCCATAAAAGCATCTAAAACCCTTTGCACTCTCTATAAAGTTCATTTTATGATTTGAGGCCTGTAGTTTGGATCCAGATTTTGAGGTATACCTGTGGGCTGGCAGGATGGAACTTAACTCTCACTTGGTCCCCATGGCAACCCCTCCAGCCTCCTGACATTGCTAAATAGAGGGTGCTGCTGAACGGGGTGAGTGGTGGCAGAAGGGGAAGGAGAGAAGCCCTCAAAATCAAGAGCGAGCATCTCCCAGGAGCCGAGCCATTCTGCTGTGCGAGGCAAATCCTTTATACATCACTACTTCAGCATTAAAGAGGTTGGGGCAACATTTTTATTTTATTTTATTTTATTTTTTCGAGGGCTTATATATTTTCCCCCATAGCTATACAATACGAGATGCAGTTGTTTGAAAAGGTAGGGGGAAATGACAAAAGGATAGCATCTGCTTTAACCATAACATTTTGCTGAGTGTTCATTTTAACGTGATCTTGGTTCGATTTCCTTTCTGTAAACCACAGAGTAAAATTTTCTGCTATAGCACCAGGCTGCAATTTCTATTTAAGTGCCTGAACAATTTCACCACAAACGGGGTGGGGAAGAAATCATTCTTTGAATGTTATGATGGGCATTTTGCATGAAAAATGGTGACTCATTCCTCATTTGAGTGAGAAGAAGCAGATTCAGATGCATGACAAGACAAAGGCAATTGCTTAGAGAGGTACTGTATCAAACTACTATCCAAAATTGACAGGGGAAAAAATTTTAGGAAACCATTTCCCTGCTATTTGTCATATTTTGGTTATCTGAGAGGTGAGGGCACAAAAATAACCGGGAAGTTACAAGCCTTGGTCTGCATTATACGTGAATATACTGCATATATAGCTGCAGCTGGTTTGTACAAGTACATACGGCTGTTTCCAATGAAGCAGCCTTCCCTATGCTATGTTTTCTCACCTGGATGGCGTGAGCTTATCAAGCTCTGACATACTTAAAGGAAGGACAGGGACACTTGAGTTTGGCCAGGTGTGTGTTTGTGTTTACTACCACGAAGCAGAAGTAGGCAAATCAGTTACTTAAGAGGAACAGTTCAGTCCTCAAAGATTTCTCACCTTAGCTCCAGAATCTCACATTCTTCCTCCTTAAAAACATAAGAAAAGATGTGCTGAGTCAAACCAGCAGCCTGCGTCGTCAACCATCATGTTTTGCCCAGAATAGCTATCCAGGTGCCTATGAGAAGCCGGCAAGCAGGACAGGAGCAGTAGAGCTTCCTCCCACCTATAGACCCCAGTCATTGGCACTGAAAGGCACACCGTCTCTAATGCCAGTAGAACCATCCAACCCCTTGAAAGCAAGTCCCACAATTTGGTGGAAGATACTCCTGGGAAAACACATAGGTGTTAATGTTGTTGCCTTAGATCACCATTTTCTTTCAGTGGTTTCTTTCTGAGCTGCATTAAAAATGTTACACAGGCTTTTCCAATAATGCTTCCTCACTTGTTCGTGTTTTTCCTTTGCTGTCCCTTGTCTGTATTCTATTGTCGATATTGGGGCACATTCTTTAATAAGCAAGAGGTGAGGAGGGGCAGGATCCAGGGCAAGGAAGCAGCAGGGGGATGACTGGAGCAGGATCTAAGTATCGAGCCCAGCAAGGGACCGTGAAAGCTGTTCTCTTCAGGCAGTCTTGCTTCCTTTCGGCGTGCATGACTCGGCGTGCATGACTTCAAGGAGGAGGGAGAAAAACGAGAGAGAGTGAATAAGAACTTAATATAATAGGCGCACAGCTTTGAGACCAGGCATAAAGGGAAACAGTAGCAAATAGGAAGATTTCAACTTTTGTGGTAAGGTTGGGGAGTAAAAGAATGTGATAGGAGTAAGAGAGATATTTGATTGAATGCCTGCCTGCATCTCCCTGTGTGTGAATGGCCATGTGTGTGTGAGAAGAATATTCCCTTTTGTCTCTAACTGAGTGAATGCCTGCCTGCATCTCTCTGTGTGTGAATGGCCATGTGTGTGTTTGTGAGAAGAATATTCCCTTTTGTCTCTAACTCTGTCATCCCTGACTTTGCCCACCATTGGCAGCTGCAGCTAAACCCCCAGTGACCATAATGGGCATCACCAGCTGCCAGTGGTGCTCAGCAATGCTTCCCTCAACACCAGCCTTGTGGATAAGAACGAAAACAAAGAAAGGGATACCGAGATTGGCTCAGGCTCAGAAACAGATCTGTTGTTTAACCAGCTAAACTCATGTGTCAAATCTTTAACTGATGTGCCTCAGGTAAATATACTGCCTAAGAATTGTTCGCCCCAATGTATTATTTGATGCTTGGATGAGAAAGGAATGCCCACTTCTGTAGCCCTCTGAGTAAGGGCAGCAATGATTTATGGCAGTCTGACAAAGGCAAACAAATTTGAACAGAATGCCATTGAGCATGATATGAAAAACTTCTAGGCTGCTTCCTTGAGGTCTGTCCGTAACCCTTGGGTGCAAGGAGGGTCCAAAGGAATATTCAAGACAACGAGGATATTCTCCATCTTTGTGAATGGAAAACAGGCTGCGTGTATAGAAATCCAGTTACACTTCAGATCCCCTTTGCTGGGAAGAAGGGACTGTGATGAATGCCCCACGTCACTCCTGTCACTCATAGTCAGGATTTCATTTGCATGAGCCTGTGAGAGGATTGGAGGGGCGGAGTCAGCGGATATAAAAATGTTTGGCAGGATAAGATAGGAGAGAGATAGAATTTGCAGACAGAGAGTCCGATAGTGAGATTGTGAGAGAAGAGAGAGAAGGAACAGATACTAATAGAGATAAGCTGGTCAAGATAAATAGATTGAGCAGGTGGTGATTGGTTATGTGGCAAGATACAGTGGTGCCTCGCATAGCGACGTTAATCCGTGCAGCAAAAATCGCTGCTAAGCGATTTCATCGCTATGCAATTTTAAAAAGCCCATAGAAACGCATTTAAACCTGTTTAATGTGTTCCTATGAGCAAAAAACTGACCTTAAAGCGAAGATCCTCCATACGGTGGCCATTTTCGCTGCCTCTTAAGCAAGGAATCCGTCCCTAAACACAGTGGGCGGCCATTTTTTTTTACCCGGCGGCCATTTTGGAACCGCCGATCAGCTGTTAAAAAATCATCGCTTTGC